ATTAAATTAAATAAAACGTATTAAATCTAACAAAATGTACATTTGACTTGAATAATAATATATACGTTTAATTAATAAGATAGTAATTTAGTTGAAAGGTTTGGTCAAATTAACAATTTTTTTCAGTGTATGTATGTGCGCACAGAATTGTATAATAATTTCTAACTAAAAATTCGGTCATTTATTATTTTTGTCTGCTAAATCTAAATTCAACTTCATAAAAGAAGGAAATGCAATTTGATATGTCTGATTCTTGTTACGATGCTTTCGGTTATATCGAGACATAAAGCGCTTATAAAATTTTGACCGCTCGCTCGCGATTCCCTTTGCTAGAGAGGGCATAATTTAAGTTTAAACATCTATTTTTAAACGACCCCACAGTATATAATACACTGAGCAGCATATCTTCCTCTGTGCCAGAGAACTTTTCCATTTTTCTTACATTTTTTCACATTCTTGTGAACTCTAACAACAATCTAATGTTGCGGATATCCGCATATAACAATAACAAAGACTGTTTATAATAATTGTTAAATCTAAATAAACAAAATAAAATATAGGTGTTATTATTATTTATATTAGATATTTTTATATAAATACATAGGATGTTTCATTGACTCGTAATCAGTTTATACAATTTTCTAAATTATTGAAAATGTTGATATTATTTTTTTTTAAATTTTATTGAATAAAATATTCTTTCATATTATATAATAATACTGTAATTATATATTCATTGTAAGAGGACAATTTATATATTTAATAGTTATGTTTAAATTTAAAATATAACTATTATAATTTAATAATATAATTACTATATATATATATCTATATTAGTATATATATATATATATAGTTTTATAAGTGTATATATATTTATTATTATCTATTTAGATATTTAGATATATATAATGTATATATGCTTTTGCAATTATAATATTTTATAAACTATTATATTGTACTAAATACCCACACATATCTATATATACATAGAAAAAGAGAAATTAAATAAAGAAAGAAAAAAAGATAATTGATTTATTATATATCAAAGACAATGGTTGCTGTTTAAAAAGTATATCATGCTACAGGTGCAATAATTATTTTAAGTGTTTTTAATAATAGTATCTTAGAGATGAGATACAAATTGTATTACAGGTAGAGACCTCGACACTAAAATAGGTAGTTGCAATTATATCATTATATATAGCATGTATTAAGAGTTGTATATATTTCTTAATTATCTTGTTTTATATCCCTAAAGCTTAAGTTATTAAAATTTTTAATTTTTAAATATAAATAATTCTATGATTAAAGAAATTTGAGAAAGTAAAAAAAAATTTTGCCAGATAAAATTACAAATTTATTATTAAAACATGCAAGTATGAAGAAATGACTTTCAACTTTTAGCTACATTTAGATTTTACCAAGAAAAGACAACTAAGCACAAAAAGAAAGAAAAAGAAAACTATTTTATGAACAACTTCTGATCTTTAAACATAGAAATTTGCAATTTTGTTTTAAAACAAATTTTTATTAGCTCTTTTTTTTCAATTTGAAAAAGCGTGTGTGAAAAAAATACATTATTTTCTTCATCTTTGAAAATATTACTAAATATTTTACATACAATTCTAAGAAATAAAATTTAAAAAAATTAAGTTTTATACTCTGACACAAAGGCTTAGTTATCTCTTGAAAATATATGCTTCAGAGAAAATATACATTTGTACAACTTCACATGCTTTTACAAACAATTATAATGTATGCTTTGCGTCAATTAACATTTATAAAAATGTGTACACATTATTATACAATTATATATATATATATATATACATGTATTTATATATATACTAATTTTAATACACAACTATTTTTAATACACACAAATTAAAATAGCAAAATAATTAAACACACAACACAAAGACACAAAGATAGCGTATATAAAAATTGTACATAAAAATAAGAAATCGCAGCACAAGTTCGATGACATTAATTAGAAAGTGCACCTTACATACATACATACCATTTCATGATTTTGACGAAAACAAACGGGAAAAGAAATATATAACCGAGCGAGGACACTAAATGAGATTTTTCGTGTATATTTCGCAAATAGAGAGAGTTCGATCGTTGGAACGTTCAACTGGTTAACAAACTCACTTCGACTTTCGACGATGATGACCAAGCCGAACACGAAATTATAATAGCACCTCGCTCTGTGGCATCGGACCGGCGAGTCAGCATCGCGACCATGAAGATTGCGCTCGATTTGTTCATCCCCTTCCATCCTTGCCGCGCCGTGTTTCTTTTCGTCCCGATTCATTTCATCAAGTCGGTTCCATCTCAGTCAATTTGTCTCATTTATTCGTCCAATTTCAAACAATCTATTTAATATATTCTGAATCCCTTGTTTGGATTGTGTCAGAAATTAAATTGAGAAAAAGATATATCGCTTTGGACCTTGTTTTGTGTTGATAGCCGCTCTTTGTAGGTATTATTTGCTGTGTTCGTATAGTGGAAACTTAATATAATGAAATAGTTTCGCCTGGTTTCACCGCGTAGCGACACGTGTCCTGTTAAAAAAAGAAGTTTCGGAATATAAGTATACATAGATATATATTTTATATAAATAATTATGCTGTAGGACCATCAGAGATAACATTCCAGGTAGCAAACTGCACGTCATTAAACGTCAAAATGACGTCATTTTGACGCTTAGTGACGTCAGTTTGCTACTTGGGATGTTAGGATAGTAAAACTGCAAACATACGTCATTTTGACGTCGAATGACGTCATAAGAGGTCAAAATAATGTTATTAGAAGTCAAAATGACGTCATTTTAACGTTTAAAGGCGTCAGTTTACTATTTGATATGTTAGGATAGTAAAACTGCAAGTTTACATCATTTTGACGTCTAATGACGTTATTAGAGATCAGAATGTTATTAGAAATTAAAATGACGTCAGTTTGCTACTTGGGGTATTTTGACGTCAAATTACATTATTTTGAAAATGATCTCCCAGGTAGCAAACTGACGTCATTAAATGTCAAAATGACATTAGTCTGCCACATGGGATATTTAATGTCTAATCCAACATGGTCGGTTAACAAAAAAACGAGCAAATTTAATAATATTTGTTTATTTTGGTAATGTTGC